AAATAGAATAAATTTAAAAAGTAAATGTGTCTCTTATTTAAAAGCTGATGGACTTTTGTATATTCTTTATAAAATTAACAAAGTTGACATTATACTTGTCATATTACAATACTCTTATGTTGCATTTTAAAATAAAACATACACGTAGCATACACACATTTGGAATGAGTCCAGATTTAGACTCTAGGGGCATCGTGTTCTATACCTTAAATTACAATCAGATGTATTTTATCACAGATCAAATTTTCAGTCTGAGGTTGGTGAGAAGCCTAATTATTTGACCAGGTTACTATTTATGTAGACCATTCTATGGCTGTCTGTGGTTAATCCACAGCTGGCAAAATGCTAACTCTGGGAGGTTTTTATTTCATGCTGGAACAGTTTGGGGAGAAATAGGGGAGGAAAGCTTTAAACTCTTCTCATTAAATGAAAGACTAAAAAGCAAGTACAGTCCATACATATTACTATGGAGACAAGATGCTGTATAAACTGTTCCTTTTAATTCTCCAAGGGACGGAAATAGCAAAGCAGCAGCTTGGATGCTCATAGTTTGCAACTGACATGTTATTTGGCTAAAAAGGAAAGATGAAAACATTTTTAAAAATGATAACTAAAGCCAGGCTCGGTGGCTCAGCCTGTAATCCTTGCGCCTTTGGGAGGCTGTGGTGAGTGGATTGCCTGAGCCTGCGGGTTCGAGACCCACCTAGGCAGCGAGACCTCATCTCTACAATAAATAAATTTTTTTTAAAAATCAGCCGTGCGTGGTAGCGTATGCCTGTAATTCCGGCTACTCGGAAGGCTGAGGCGGAAGGATCGCTGGAGCCCAGCAGGTCGAGGCTGCGGTGGCCAGGAGCGACCACTGCACTCCAGTCTGGGCAACCGAGTGAGACTCCAATTAAAAAAAAAAAAAAATGATAACTAAGACTAAGATTTGTTGCATTTTAGAACAATTGAATATAAGTAAAAAATTAATGGGTTGGAATTTTCAAATGAGGAAATATTGCTATTATAATAAAAAAATTGTTGTTAGAATTTTAGGAGCAATACTTTTAGGGTGATGAGACAATTGTAGCGGAGAAAAAGTCGTATCTTGTCAGGGCTCGGTGGTTCAGCCTATAATCCCAGCGCTTTGGGAGGCCGAGATGAGTGGATTGTCTGAGCCCGCGGGTTCGAGACCCACCTGGGCAACTTGGCTAGACCTCATCTCTACAATAAATCAAAATATTAGCCGGGCGTGGTAGCGCGCGCCTGTAGTTCCAGCTACTTGGAAGGCTGAGGCGGAAAGATCGCCGAAGCCCAGCAGGTCAAGGCTGCGGTGGCCGGGAGCGGCCACTGCACTCCAGTCTGGGCGACGGAGTGAGAATCCGACTCAAAAAAAAAAAAAGAAAAAGTAATATCCTTTCCTTATCCATCGAGAGGATCATGGCTGACATCCCTGTAACCAAAGAAATTAACAAGATAAAAGCGTAATAAATTAATTGAACAACATTTCACATGACACAGGAGCCTTCAGAAATTAAGACCAAAAACCCAGCGAAAACCGTATTTTAATGCTAAGTCTGATGAAAAAAGTTAATAGTTGTGGAGAAACACGATTGGACTAAAAAGGTATGAACTAATTGTAATTAACTGGGTGGGAGGTGGGGTAAAACCCAGCAAGTACTTTCTGTTTAGGCTGTTCTTGGCCTTCAGGTATAGAGCAGGACCCCTTTTGATTAAAAGTTTTATGACCTGTGTTCTGGTGAGGTCGGCCAGAGAATTCCTTTATGGCCAACTCTCACACATAAAGGTGAGGGGAGGTTAGAATGACCTTCTTGCTTCTGCAGTTATCTCAATTGCCAGGGGATCATATATTGGGGTGTTGAGTTCTGAGCCCAGACAAAATTATAGTATAAAATTTTATTTTAGCCGGGCACAGTGGCTCAGCCTATAATCCCTCACCTTAGGAGGCTGTGGTGAGTGGATTGCCTGAGCCCTCGGGTTCAAGACCCACCTGGGCAACTTGGCAAGACCTCATCTCTACAAT